ACCAAGGGGATGGGAAGAGGCAGCGTGGGGCACAGAGATTTCACCAACTTCATGATTCTGTGACTGAAATGAGTTAGTGTCCACCAAAATTAGGTTTTAAAGGTGAAAAGCATCTGTGTGAGGTGAACAGTGACCCCCCAAAGACGTATGGACTTTATTTGGAATAAGGCTCTTTACAGATATGAAGGTTAGCATCTTGAGACAAGATCATCCTACGACGAGTGTCCTTACAAGAGGCAGGAGAAGACACAGACACAGTGAGGAGGCTGCTGAGTGCCTATGAAGGCAGAGATCAGAATGACGCAGCCATAGATCAAGCAATGTCAAGGGACACCTGGAGCCACCAGAAGCCAGGAGACGCAAGGACAGAGCCTCCCCTAGAGCCTTTGGGGAAAATGCGGCCCTGCCAGGGGCGCCTTGATTTTAAACTTCCGGCTCCTAGAGCAGGCAGAGAACACATTTCTCTTGTTTTAAGCTGCCTAGTTTGTGATGATTTGTTGGGGCAGTCCTAGGAAGCCAACATGGCATTCTTTATAAATGTCTTTTCCTTTAAGAGAAAAAAGGGAGAGAAGGAGAGACAGAGAGGTATTTGACAGGGTCTGGCCGTGTCATAATCCTCCTGTCCCAATCGACCAATCAGTTCAGATTTTTAGCTCATGAAACCAAATTGGCAAGTTCAGGTTGGTCCAGGAACCGAACCACGTTGCAGCACTACCTGCATGCCAACATGGCTGGACCGACCAGCCCCGCACTCCTTACAGGACAAAGCTCATGCAACTCCAAGGCAAGTTTCTGGTGCCGCTGTCAGGCCCCCAGGCGCTGCTGACACCACCTCACACCACCACTATCACGTGTCCATCACCATCCTCTGGCATGGCACACGGTCTGGCCCTCACGGCCTCCTTCACACTGCCACGTGAGGTGAGAGGACAGGGCCAGGGGACAGAGCTCAGAGCCAAGGGCTGGACAGTCGAGCATTTGAATGAACCTCAGCAGAATCACTTCAGAAAATCAAAACAGAACCGGGAATGTCACAGTCAGCCTCATCATGAGGCCCCTGACATCCCTCAACAGCGTGACGTCAAGACTCCTGAGCCAGCAGGACCCGCAGCCCCACACCCCAGCCAGCCCTGCAATGCAACCCCCACCAAGGCAACAAAATGAATGAGATGAAAATGAATTGCTCCAACATGACCACTGGCCTTTGGCCTGCAGAATTGACAGGGAAATGTCACAATCCCCACCCTGAAGCAGACACAGCCTGTGTGTCGCCAGACACCTCAGCTCCCGGAAGTGACCCGGACAGACGCCAGAAGAAACGAGCTGGAGACTGTGCATGGTGACATTCCCCCAGCAAACAACAAACAAGGTGTGACAGTGCCTGACGGCCCCTGGAGAACACTGGCCCAGAACAGGCCAGACGCCATGACTGTCAACCCAATTTGGCCCGAATTCCTTTGTGTACAAAATAAGATGTCACCTGAGAAAACGGCAACCATCTCTGTGCTCCCAGTGAAGAGGCCTGAAGGCCATGCTGTGATGGCTACTGAGATGGTGTGGGAGCTGAGGGGGGACCCCGCCAGCCTCTCACCACAACGCCACAGCTCCTCCGACGGACAGCTGGGTAAGCTGTCCCCATGGCTACTCGAAGGAAGCCAAACCACTGTGAGGTGTTCTTCCAGAACTTAGGGCAGCTGACAACGAAGATCCTTACCTCCATTTCAGAATAAATGTAACATTTTAGAAAAGAAAAGCCTTTGTCAAAGCAGCTCCTGGATATAAGCTGCCCTGATATCTGCTGGGTTGCTAAAGTAATCCCTAGAAAAAGCACTCAACTCCAATGACAGTCTGGTTTTCCCTCAAAATGAATAATTACTGGCCCAGCTATGGCAGTACAACGTTGGATGCTACTACTTGGCAGGCCAAGGCCACAGGGGAGGTCTGGGTTCAATTCCTGAGCCATCCTAAAACCTGGGCACCACAGCATGTCAGTGTAGTCCAAGCTACTGGAGAGGCCAACGCAGATCACCACATACGAGACCCTGTCTAAAAATCACACCAGACATGTACACGTGTATGTACAAAGAGAAAAGTAAAGATAACAGTAATTCCACTGCCTGAGAACCACCATAGACTTCCCTGAACCTCCCTGAACAGTTAATTCTGGTTAGACAAGGAATTGAGGGCAGAACTGACCACATGGTACCCATCTGTAATCCCAGCTGCTCTGCAGACTGAGGCATGAGAACTGCTAGTTTGAGGTTGGCCTGAGCAAAATACTGAGACCCTGTCTTAAAAAAAAGAAAGAAAACAAATACAAACAAACAAGGGGCAGGGCAGGGAGACGGCCAAGGGCATGGTAGTTACGGTGGCTGGATCCCACATGGCTGACGGCTCAGTTTGAGTCTTGGACCTGGTGGCTTGAGAAATACTGAACACGTGTGTGCGCATGCCCAAAATCCCCAGAAGAGAACCGAGAAGGGATTGCAGCATGGCCATCCCCCCAGGGGGTGATGTCCCTCTCTCTGTCTGTCTCCCTTGAATGTACACACTCTATAACAACATTAAAGAAACAAACAAACCAATGGAGGGGGAGGAGTTTAGACAGGAAGATCCCCAGGCTTCCTCCTTTCCAACAAAAGTCGACCTTTCATTCTCTAGGTGCTTTGCTGGACTGTGAAGAACATTTGTTGATTGACTAACATTTAGGAAACTGGCTGTTGGGACCAGCAGTTAGCATAATGGGTATGTCGCTGGACTCCCACATAGTTGACCACGGTTCGCGTCCTGGACCCGGTGGCTTAAAACGCACGCAGGGCTGCGTGTGCGTGTGTGCCCAAGATCCCGAGAGGAGAATGGAGGGGAAGGGATTGCGGTGTGGCCATCCCCCCTGGGGGGTGATTTCTCACTTTCTATCTCTCTCTCTCTGTCTGTCTCGCGAGCACACGCGCCCTATAGCAAAAAAAAAAAAGGAAACTGGCTGTTCCTCTAGAAAAACATGTTTCTTTTTCTCCTTTATTCATGATCAAGCATGTGCACATGAGAATGACAAAGAGAGGGCACACCCTCTACAGGGTCTGGTCCCACCATAATCCCTTTCCTCCTGTCCTCCAGCCGTCAGATCCTGAGCACTTGGCACAGGCCCGGCATGATTCAGGCTGAATGGACTGGGGACTTGAACTGTGGTTGCCATGTAGTATACAGCTTTTCTTGAGCAGCGCATTAACCCTGTGCCATGGAGTCTGCCAGTCTGCTGCTTTTCTAACTGGTCTTTTATTTTTTTTTGGAGAGGTTTTTTGCTATAGGGCACATGCGCTCGCCAGACAGACAGAGACAGGCAGAGAGACAGAAAGCAAGAAATCACCCCCCGGGGGGATGGCCACACCACAATCCCTTCTCCTCTCAGGATCTTGGGCATGCATGCACACGTGCCCGGCATGAGTTTTAAGCCACCGGGTCCAGGACGCGAACCACAGTTGACTACATGGGAGTCCCACGACATAGCCATTACGCTAACTGCTGGTCCCTCTAACTGGTCTTCAAAGGATGTTGGGGGTCAAGTGATCAGAGCATGTGCCACGGGATGCAGCGCATTTTCCACTGTGGATTTTGGATGTGTATTTAATGACGCAGCCTTAACCGCAGTAGCTTAGCCAGGCAGGAGTTTCGGCAAGAGAGAGGCATGAAATCAGGATAGGATGGACTCCTTCCTTTCTCAGAACGGGAGGCCACCACAGCACACAACGTTCAGAGCACATGATACTTAAGGCCCGTGGAGAATAAGCTGAAAAGGACAAGACCCGTGTTTGAGGCAAATCCTAAAATGACCTTGTGGTCTGTTTGTGGCAAACATCCGTCAGCTAGAAAACGACTCTGCAAAGGCAGGAGCAAGCTGCAGAGCATCCTTCTCCTTACTCTAACCCCCCCATCTGGCGAGGGCAAATGCAGCTCGCTCCGGGTTACAACAGGAGGGGAGGCACCGGGGCAGTCAGCTGCCAGGTGTGTTCTGCGGTGCTGCTGCCAGAGAGCAATGGGGGTGGCCAGCCACCAAGGTCTCCACGAGGACTCTGGGGGCCCTCGACTCAGGCCGTGGTGGGCAAAGGCACAGTGAGGAGAAGCAAGCTTGCACTTTTACTTTGTCACCTCCCACACAAGGACTGGTCTCAGCTGCCAGCTTTCTCCAAGGAGCAGCTTTATCTGTCAGCCATCTTCAAAATAAGCGCCAGGTTCTGGCGACTCTGACAGCCCCTGGTCCCACAGGAAAAGCTGCTTTTCAGGGGCTGCAGAGCCTCGTCTCGGGAGGTCCAACACAAATAGACATGGCCATGTGTCGGGAGGGAACTTCACTCTACATCTGCAGATGAGCAACACTAGGAGACAAGCTCGGTGAACTGCGCTCCTACCAACTGAGGAGGTCTGGCCTCCCGGATCGGCAACTGAACCCCAGAGAGGGCGAGCACCGTGTCTGGGTGGAGGCTGGGACTGAACTGGGTTTCTGTCATGGGGAAAAAAAGCAGAATCGGCAAGGCTGGTCTGAGTAATGCAGGACGAGCTGGGGCAGGAGCCTCCCAATGGGCTTCTCTGTATTGATCCTGCCATTATTGAAATCATGATTATTTATTCTACCCCCCCAAATGAAATATGTCCCCCACGAGGTGCGGTGGCCATGGTCACAGTAACTGTGCACACAGGACCTTTATAGAGCTCTAACCTGGAACACTGTAAGAGAATGAGTTCATGCTGGTCTTCAGGAAGATACAGTCCCCAGTCATATCAGAAATACAGATTTTACCAGATTGAAAAATCGAATCAGTGAACGTTAGTCTCACAGATGCATTAGCAAGGACAAAGCAAAAAACCTTGGCTTGCTGTTTCTCATAGCAAATGGATAGACACCAGGGTCCAGGGGACTTCGGATGCAAAAATGTGATTGATGCAACGGACCCAGGCAGCCAAGAGGCTCACACTCTCCCTTATCTTTATCAGGAGAGTTCTGTTACCTTTTCTGATCTTGTCGTGAAAGTTAATGGCGTCCACAGAAGCTGTGACTATGTTGGTCTTGCAATGGCGTGCAGCCACGATCCCAGCCACTTCGTCCATGAGCTTCATGGTGACACCTGCATAGAGAAAAGGGCACGTGGTAGGTGAGACATGGAGAAAGAAGAGACAGCTTCATATCGCGGAGACAAAATCACAAAAACTAAGCTCTCCCACGACCCACCAGTAAGGGCTGCAGCAAAGAAAGGGAGGTACAGCCTGCAATGGGTGTCGGAATGCTCAGAATGCTTGATGATGCTTGTTGAACCTCAAGCTTTTAACTTGTTTTTTTTTTTTTTTTAATTTTTTTTGAGCTTTTGCAAATGACCATGGTTAATATTCTAGGCCATTCACAACATTCCAGCCTTTTTTCTATCCTCTACAGACATCTTATTCCTGCCAGAAAAGTTTCATTACAATATCCACTGAGATGGCTGCAATCAAGTCAGACAGTAGCAAGTGTTGGCGAGGACCTGGAGAAACCCTGCAGTGGAAAATGGTGTAGCCACTTTGGAAACAGTTTGGAGTTTCTCAAAAGGCTAAACTCTGGGGGACCAGATGGTCCAGCAATTCTACTCCTGAGTATATTTCCAAGAGAAAAACATATTTTCAACAGAAATACGTATGCCGTTTAATAACAGCATTACTCATAACAGCTGAAGAGTGGAAATGACTCCAAAGTCCATCAACTAGTACACGGATAAACAAAATGTGGCATATCCATACAATGGAATGATGCAGCGTCATGTGAATGGACCTTGAAAAGATCATGCTGAATGAAAGAGATCACGCACTAAAGTCCACATACTGTATGATTCCATTTATATAAAACGTCCAGAAGAGACAAATCTATAGAGACAGAAAGGGCATTAGAGGTTCCCTGGGGACAGGCAATTGGTGGGGCGGGGGTGGGAGGATGTGAACGTGGGAATGACTGTCATTGGGTACGGGGTTTCTTTTTTGAGATGGTAAAAATGTTCTAAAATTGACCGTAGTGGTGGCTGCACACCCCTGGGAATACACTAAAAAAAATCAATGACTTGTACATTTTTAAGTGGGTGAACTGCGTGGTGTGTGAATTATGTCTCAATAAAGCTGTTATATAAAACAAACAAAAGCAGGCTCTCTGAAAGAACACTGCAAAGCCAAGGTGCCCTTAAATCCTCGGGCTGCAGGTGTTTGCTCCTGCTCATCCTCTTCCCGTGATGGATCCCTGCCGTACACAGGCTGGTCTCCCTCGCCCTGTAATTATCCCCCATGCAGCACCCACATTATATTTAATTCATTGTTTAAAATTTAGGGCATCACTTCTATTAGGTTGAACTGCATGAAATTGCTGATATTCAATCACGTTAACCTACAAAAGCAGCAAAGTGTGATATCATTGACCTAATAGCTATTGGAGATCCTAGAAAGTAATGTGCATTCACCCTAGCATACCAGATGACTTCTAGAAACCCAGAGAGGCAAAACACCAGACTCCGTCCCACTCACGAAAGCCAGGCTTCTACGGAGTCATGTTTAGGGTAGGAAGGTGTCTCAAATGCCGTAGGGCCCAGCAGGTGATGAGGGGACGTGAGGAAGGTTGGTGGGGGCCAGCCAGGACCCACTACCATGGCCCCTGCCTGCTTGCCCCATCCCTGTTTCTTCAACAGACACAGGAAAATAACGTGCCTGTCCTGCTTGAGTCCAACTCGAGCCAACTGTAGTCTAACCTGACTTTAACTAACTGTAAAAAAGTATGAGCAATTAGGGACATTTGAAAACTTACCGGATATTTGATATTATAAACTTTAAATATATTTGGGAAGATTGAATAATGGTATTGTGGGTGCTAAAATTAGAAAGTTATCTTTTTTTAATAGAGATTTTTGCTATAGGGTGCATGCACTTGCGAGAGAGACAGAGATAAAGAAATAGAAAGCAAGAAACTCCCCCCTCCCCCAGGGATGGCCATGCTGCAATCTCTTCTCCTTCATTTTCCTGTTGGGATTTTGGGCATGCACGCACATGTGCCCTGTGTGATTTTCAAGCTGCTAGGTCTGGGATTCCAACCATGGTTGGTCACATGGGAGTCTAGTGCCTTACCCAATACGCCACCTGCTGACCCCAGAAAGGTATCTTTTATATACCATACCTGAGATTTGTTTCAAAATGTTCTAAAGTGGTGGTCCTCAACCTTCCTAGCTCCGCCTCATGGAAGACGATCTCTCCAGGGACCGGGGAGTGTGGGGGGTACGGTTTTGGGGATGATTCAAGTACACTACATATACCAATCTACTGTGCACCCCACCTCCACTACTACCACGCTGCAGTGGACAATGAAATAATCACACAATAGGACTCACACTCCCATAGAATCCAATACCATTGCTGACTCAACAGGAGGCAGAGCCCAGGTGGCACTGTGAGCGCTGGGAGTGGCTGCACGCACCGTCTCTCTCACTCGCCTGCCACCCCGCCATTGCACAGCACGTTGGACCACACTGGTCCACGGCTCAGCCCCCGACAGGTCGTGCACTGGCACCAGCCCACAGTCTGAGGTTGGAGACCCCTGCTCCTGCTCTAAAGGGTACCTCCAGGTGCTGACAGCCATAGAAGCTGGAAGATGGATACCTGGAGGTTCAATAGTCTTTTCTGTCTTTTGTGTATATTTGAGCACTCTGATAATAAGTCTTCTACAAAAATGAATGTTCTTGATTTTTAAAAATATTTTATTCCACTTTATTCATTTTTTTTTAATTGACCAGAGAAAGATAGAGAAAGTGAGAGAGCAAGCCACCACGTCGAGGACTCAAACTGCAGTCGGCCACATAAGAGTCCAGCGCCCTTAACCACCATGCCACTTGCAGGCCCCCAGTGTTCTTGGTGTCAAAAATGCTTTTATTACTATGACGTCTCCATTTCTCCATCCTGTCAAGATTCTGGGCACACATGCATGTGCACCTGGAGTGTTTTTCAAGTCTCAGGGTCAAAGATTTGAACAGTGACTTTTCTTTCTTTCTTTTTAAAGAGTTTTTGCCATATAGGGCAAAAGCACACACACTGAGCGTCTGTGCTCACTGGAACGGGAGGCAGAGAGATTGGTGGGGAGGAGGAAAAAGAAGAGGCAGGTCGGCACTGGCTGCGGCCCTCACGGACGCTAGTGTATCTCTTCTCTCAACTGATGCGGAGAGGTACCTGTAGGCTCATTTTTCAAACCAATGATAGAGGCTCCAAGTCTCACCAAGGTCCAATTCTAAAGGCAAAGCTCAAACAAAAAGCTGGGAAAACAGATCTTTCGCAGGGGGAAGATTCATGGGTACCAGGTTTATCCTCCAGTGAAAGAGACATTGCTCAGGGCAGAGCAGGGTGACTTGGGCTGCAAGCCACGCTTTCTTTGCTTTGTCTTTGCTTCGCTTTTGTAAAGAGTCTCTCATCCTTATTTTAAGTCATTACTGGAAACAGACCGTTGCAGCCTTGCCTAAGCCACCAGAAGGCTCTCCTGGTCTTCCTTCCTATGCCAAGGGCCTCAGTGAAGTCTCTGGCCAGCCCAGGTACAGCAGGGGAGAGGCATCGAGGACTTCAAGGAGGAAAAAACACACAACAGAATTTGGGCCATCATGTGTCAGTGTCTGCGGCCTCCTTGGCAGGCACTCTACCCACAGGAGAGGGGATCCTGACTTAATCACAACTTTGGCTGCGTGTGGACTTGCCCATGCCCACTCTCCAGGCTGAACAGGTGGGTGTGAATCCCCACCCTGCAGGGATTGGAGTCCTCCCATCATTACCCAGACTGTGTGAGTCCCTACTTTCCCCTCTACTAAGGAGGGGCTTTAGTGCTCACCCCTCTAACCTTGGGTGGTGGCAGGTTATCCTCCCCGAGCCTATAAGGTAGAAGGGGGCAACTGCACCCACGCAGGGTGATGGAGGAGCAAAGCTGATGGGCCAGGCAGCCACTCAGTAATGACAGTGACTGTCCTAAGACATCGGGACTCAAAGGACATCTGTTGAACTGATTGCCAATTTAATTGGGGGCTTTGGGGAGAGACCTGAGGGGCAGAGAATGAACAAAAAAGGAAAAAGAAAAGCGGTATCTCAGAAGAATATCGGGAAACGTGCTGGATGGGAACCACACACACCCTGCTTGGATGGAGCAGACAATCGGCCTCGTGCTGACACCCCCGTGTGCAGGTATGATGGATCTCACAGGGAGTGAGCGCCCGTGCACAGCTCCAGGCCCTGAGCGTCACAGCAGCTGCACAAGCGGCCTTGCTCCCCAGTGCAAGGTGGTGGTTTGGAATTTGGAGGCATTTTCCCACAGACTCATTCCAAGTACAATGAGCAAACCAGTTTCTGATGGTGTTTGGATAAGCTTCATTTGCCATGAGATGGCTGAAATTTACATTAAAATAACACTGACAGAGAACCTAGAGTACTGGAGATGAAGCAAACATGGTTGAGCACAAGAATGGTGACAAGACAGAAGACAGGATTCCAGCACAAATGGGTGTGTTGAGGGGACACATTTTTTTTTTAGTTTGTTTGCTATAGGGTGTGTGTTCTTTCGGGGGCAGCGGCAGGGGAGAGTGAGAAATCTTCCCCCAGGGAGTTGACCAGACTGCAATCCACTATCCTCTCAGGACTTCAGGCATGCATGCATAGGCACCTGGCATGATTTTCAAGTCGCCAGATCCAGGACTTGACCGTGTAGTCAGCCATGTGGGATCCAGCCACCTTAATCTCCATGTTGTCTGCTGGTCTGAGGGGGCACACTGTTTTTTTTTGTTTTTTACCATAGGACATATGTACTCGCTGGAGAGACAGACGGTGAGAAGGAAAGTGAGAAATGATCCCCAGGGGGATGGCCACACTGCAATCTCTTCTCCTCTTGGGATTCTGGGCACACACACACACCCAGTGTGGTTTTCAAGATGCCAAGCCTGGGACAGCCATGTGGGAGTCCAGCACCGTAACTGCCACACCGCCTGCTGGCCCGGGGGCACACTTTGAACTAGACGGATTTCAGGAGTCTCCGACTCAGGGGTGCTGCTGTGGCTTTCCTTTTTTTTCTGGTAGAGACGTGTCATCTCCTGCAAAC